CGCTGCCCCAATCCGTACAACAGAGCGACTTCATTGCACAGAGGAAGAAACGGAGGCCCCCAGAGCAGAGGCGGGGCAGGGTGGAGTTCAGTTCACACCCTCCTGTTGCGGGTCAGGCTGCTCTCCTAGACATTTCATGAGAAGTGAGAGTGGAGGGCGGTGCCTCCCTTTGTAAATAAGAAAATGTAGGGGGAGGTCCCAAAACAGAGTTGCAAAACCAAGACTTCAACTTAGGGGTCAGGGCCCTGGGAGTCCAGCGTCCCATGCAGCCAGTCTTGACCTCAAACGAGTGCTACAGAGCACACGCCGCGCACCCTGGAAGCCGCTTACTGCCCGGGTCCCACCGCAGTGCCTGGAGGACTAGGGGTGGGGGGTGGGGGCATGGGCAGGACCCGGGTCCCACCCCGCTCTGCCTCATGGAGCCTTTCAATCTGCAAACGCCACGAATGTGGGAACAGTACTGTCCAGCGGGGAGAGCAGCTGTGGGCGGGGGACAGCTGTGGAGGAGGGACTGGACTTGGGGTACTAATAGGATAGAAGTTGTCCTCAGAGGCTGGCCATGGGGGCGGGGGGTTAAACAGTCAGAAACAGGACGGTGTTCAAAGACGGGGACAGTCATTCCCCTCATAGGTGGGGCTGGGGGTGAGTGGGGTCCAGGCTCACCTTCCCCCTCCCTCCGGCCGACCTGGCCCGGGGCTGGGCAGACAGTGCAGCCCTGGAGGCAGGAGCCTGCTGGTGGGCGGGCTCCCCCACACAAGGGGACCATAGGTCACCATGGCCTGGCCCCGGCATTCCAGAGGGTTCTGGGCCAGCTGCAGGGGAGCAAGGTCAGGGATGGAGGGGCACCCAGGGGCCTGCTCTCCTTCACAGGGAAGCAGGAGGTGAGGGTGGGCAGGAGCCGGGGCAGCATGGCAGAGCTGGTCCCCATCTGCCACTGTGGGGCCTATGGCTCAGGACCAGAGGGAACCTTTCAGAAACTACCAGGACGTGGCAGAGGTGGGGCTTTGTGACCAAGGGCAGTGTGTGTCTGGCTAAAGAGGCCCGGTTAAGAGAGGATTGCTGCTTGGTGCGGTGGTGCACGTCTGTAATCCCAGGGACTCTGGAGGCTGAGGCAGGAGGATCTCGAGTTCAAAGCCAGCCTCAGAAAGAATTAAATTACAACAGATGGGGTAGAGAGAGAAGATGGGAGGGGAGGGGAGGGGGGATAGTAGAGGAGAGGAAAGGTAGCAGAATACAGCAGTCACTAATATGGCATCATGTAAAAATGTGGATGTGTAACCGATGGGATTCTGCAATCTGTATTTGGGGTAAAAATGGGAGTTCATAACCCACTTGAATCGAATGTATGAAATATGATATGTCAAGAGTTTTGTAATGTTTTGAACAACCAATAAAAAAAAAAGCCAGCCTCAGCAACTCAGTGAGGTCCTAAGCAACTCAGCAAGACCCTGACTCTAAATAAAATATAAAAAAGGGGTGGGGAGGAGGCTCAGTGGTTAAGTGCCCCTGTGTTTGATCCCCAATACCAAAAAATAAATAAAAGTTGCTGCTAACACTGATGTGGGAGGCCACAGTTGTCCCTGCTCTCCCAGTGGCCGGCTCTGCCCCAGCAGCAGAGACATGGCCTCTGATCCACACCAGGCCCCTTCACAGTGCCTGGACCTGATTCCCAGCCAGGACCCGAGACTGAACTAAACACCGTGTCCAGGTGACACTGGAGGCAGAAGCTGTGCCTTGGAGCCGGATGGCCTGTCACGCTAGCCCCAGGGGGCACAGAAAAGACCCAGGCTCTTTCCTGAAAAGCCTCCCGGGCTGGTGGGGTCAGCAGATACTTTAATGAAAGAGTTCAACTTGGTGATGTCAACACTTAAGAGATTTATGATGAAAACACTCTAGGAACAAAAAACAGGGAGTGGGGACCAGGCTTATTGACACCGTGTGGCCAATGTATCATTTACAGTGGGTTTTGCAGGTCAAGTAGGAGTTTGTCAAGTAGAGAAAAGCATGTTCCAAGGGGGAAGTACTCACAGGAGAAAAGGCAGAAAGGTGCGAAGTCTCCTGGAGGATCCAGGAAATGTCAGGGTGACCACAGGACCCGGAGGGGGGTGGAGGGCGAGCCTGGGAGGGCAGCTGGCCAGGGTCACGTTCGAGAAGGATCTCAGATTAGATCTCCATTGCTCAGTGCAAATGAGGGTAGACACACTGTACTTTGTGCGGGTGGGCGTGCATGTGTGTGTGCGTGCATGTGGGTGTCTGGGAGTGTGTGAGGATGCATGTTACAAACACTGGTTTATTATATGTGCACATTAAAACTGAACCACAAATTTGGTTATCCTGTCTTGGTTGTTTTCCCTACAAATTCAGAACCCCCAAAGATGAAGACCTGCCCTCACCTTTCAGGGTCACATGCTGAAGGATTCTCCCATGGAAGGACAGAATGTCCTGGGATTTGGCTGGGCGGGGAAGCCAGCCAGGTGTGCGGGGACAGTGTTGGGCCTGCCTTGGAGCCGGGCCCGGGCACACGGGAATTCCTCACGTCCCTCTGTGTGTCCTTCGGCATGTGTTGGGACATTTCCCTCGTGACCCGTGTCTTCTGGAGGGACTCCCTCACTCTGCACGGTTCCGGGGAGGCTTGGGTGTCCCCTTCCCAGTGAGTGACAGGGAGGGGGACCTTGGGCCTGAGAAGCACATGGGAGCCAAATTGTAAAAAACCTCGTGAACTCTCCTGAGAGGTTTGGACTGGATCCTGGGCATGGTCGGAAGCCCAGCAAGGAATTTTTGGAAGGGGGATGCCACCGTTTTGATTCTCCCTTGGGAAAGAACAGCTCTGGCCGGAGCCTGGAGGGAGGAGGGGGCGGGAGTGGGTGGGGGGAGGGGCTGCCTTCTCCTGCAAACTGTCCCTAGGTGGCATCACGGCCAAGGTCACTGGCAGCCATGGGACAGGAGGGAGAGAGAGCCAAGCAAGCAAGACCTCTTTCACCCGTGGGCCCCAGCATCGCACTGTCCGAGACACTTTTCACAAGAGGCATCCGAGTGCCAAGAGGTCAGCGGGGGGCCTGACTGAGGGTCGCCCTGGCTGGACTAGGGGTAGCCATGCCATTCCCCAGGCCTGCAGGACGCCTGGCCGTGGCCGATGGCTGGATGGAGAGTGAGCGGCCCGGGCTCCCCGCTCACTGAGCCTCTGCTGCATGAGTGGATGAAGCCAGCCCAGCGTCTGACCCGGGAGCGGAGGAGCCCTCAGTCAATGTCCGTGGGCTCAAGTCAATTGATGTGAAAACGTCGGTTTCCAAGCCCAGCGAGAGGGGCCGCGGTCTCCTTGAGGGAAAAGCAATCTCCTCTCGGCCAGAGCTTCCAGAAGGGCCCTGCTCTCCAGGCTGAAAGGAGCTGGGGAAGCCAGACCAGGCTCAGGGTCTGCCCACTACCACGTCAGCCCTGAAACTCCCGGCTCCATTTTTCTCTGGTTCCTTGATGTGTGCTTCCTCCATTTCCGATGGATGGATGGTGTGTGTGTGTGTGTGTGTGTGTGTGTTTTATTTCCATCTAAAAAAAGCTTCTAGATGCTTTTAAATTAGGCAAATGAGTAAGGGCAATGCTCATTTCCCCCCCTTTCATTTTGAAGATGTGTGTCGTGCCAAAAGGCCTTTGGACGGAATGTTCAGAGGCTGCATAATAGAACAAGAGAAGCTGCCAACCTCCTAAATCACTCACCAGACAGGACAATCTCAGGCCCTGGGACTTAGTGACCCCTGGGCAGCACCACAGCCGAGTCCCCAATAAACGGAAGGATGCCTCAGAGCCTGCGGTCCCGGCAGGAAAGGAAGCCCCACCTTGAGGAGCTGGTGGTTCCAAGTGGACCACAACTCCCTGAGCTCACTGCTCTGAGAATTGCCTAGTGATGAAGGAAATTGGGTCCCAATCTACAAAATCTCAGAGAGTGGGCTCGATGCCAGTATTTCTTCTCTGAATCTCAGTTTACACGTTGGTCAAATGGGTCTAATTGAGGGACTGCATGAGAATAGAGAGGGCTCTCATGCAGGGATGCCTACCTATAAGCACCTCTCTGGTGGTCCTTCCTTCTCTGGAATATGTGAGGTCCTGAGCCTTGATATTCAAAGTTTGATTGCAGGAGCAGCGGCGCCAGCATCAGTTAGACTCTTGCTAGAAATGAGATAGAACCACCCCAGAACAACTGCTCAGAGTCTGTGTCTTAACCAGATGCTCCGGTGGTTCCTGTGCAGGTTAGGGTTTTCAAGTGCTGCCCTGCCTGACCAGATGACCATTGCAGTGGACTCAAAGTCATTTGTAAAAGGAAAGCAATTCCTTGAATGACTCTAGATCTGAAATACTGTACAGTTTGAAGTCTGCTAACCCCTGGGTGTATGGCGTGTTTTCAGTCTTGCTATCTCACACTTCAGTTTCCTTTTACAAAGTGGAGGCAATCCTTCTGCCTTTTGTACCTTACTTATAGTAACGAGGAAGGCAGGGTGAAGTGGAGATCCAGGTCTGTTCACTGGAAGTGGCGCCCTGTCCCTGGGCTCGGCCTCTTGGGCCTCAGTTTCTTCCTCTGTGCCATGAAGTGGCTCCATGGTGCTGACGGGTTGCTGTGTCTGTACTCAAGTTCACCAGCCAGGAGATGGCAGAGCAAAAGCAGGTCTGTGATCGCCCTGATGCCCCGTTGGGGCTGAGAGTTCTGGACTCAGAGCAGCCTCACCTGCTGGCCCTCAGTGACTCCCCTCCAGAGAGGGCAGAGCCAGGTCTGTAGGCACAGGGCTGGGCTGGGTCTGAGCCCCACAGAGGGCTCTGTTTGCTTATAGTCTGCACAGCGGGGCTGGATTAGTCCAGCTTGGTAAATAGCTTTGGAGACCAGCAGGCTGGAAAGTCGACTTTGTCCAGCAGGAATGCACAGGGCCCCGCCCACACGCATCAGTGTCCCCTGCCGGGCTCCCCAACCGGACCTCTCTGTTTCATGGCCCATTTCCATTTCCTTCTCTGGGCCTCAACTGAATATAAAAAAAGTCTCTTGGCACTTTCTCCCCCAAGCCCTGTCCTTACCCCAATCAGACTCTCACAAGACACAACAGAAGGAGCCACAGGACAGGGGAGTCCTCTCAGGCCGGCTTCCCTCAGTTCTCTGGGTCACCTGGTGAGGTCGACCGGTGCTGACTTGGGCCCCGCGTCCTGAGGAAGGTGGAGGCTGCATTTGTGCCACTAGCCAAGCCCAGGCTGCCTCATTCCCCAGGGTGGCCCGCAGGGTGGCCAGGTGGTGGCCTCGGAGGAGGGCAGCTGGAACATGTTTTCTCACAGCCACACTCCGGTTGACATTCCAGAAAGTCAGAGCAGGGAGGGACTCACGGAGCAGCAAGTCTGCACGGTCCCGCTCTTGGACTCCCAGTCGGGCTGCCCGGGCTCTGGAACTTCAGGAACTGGAATCAAAATGGCCCTGTGTGCAGGAACTTGACAGGGCTGCAGGGAGCACTCCACGTTCCCTGTTTCCTAAAGGGGGCTGAGAGGCTCCCCCTAGAAGTTCCAAACGTTGTCAATTTCTCGTTTGCCTTGCGTGTTATGTACTAGGGGAAACTGAGGCCCAGGGAGGGAAGTGACCCGCTCAAGGTCCTGGCCAGGATTGAGCTCAGCTGAGAGCACATCAGAAGTGCAGCCCGGGCCGGCAGGGGGTGCGGGGGCGGGGGGCGGGGTCGTTCCCTGAACACCTCTCCCTGGGGTGGGGCCTTCTGTCGGTGCTCTCAGGCTGGTGGACCCCACAGCTGTTAAGAGGGGGATTAAGGGCTTCAGGGGAGGGACTGAGAAGGTGAGACTGTGGACCAGAGGCTGCTCCAGAAGGTGGCCAAAGTTTATCAACTAACACCCCCAGTGCTGGTGATCAAACTTGAGACTCGTGCATGCTAGGAAGTGCTCTGTTACAGTTTGGAGATGAGGTGTCCCCCCAAAACTCTTGTGTGAGACAATATAGGAATGCTGCAGGTGAAAGGGTTCCATTGTGAGTGTTGTAACCTAGTCAGTGGATTAATCCTAATCAGTGGATTAATCCACATATATGGGTTCACTGGACAGTCACCTGAGGCAGGTACGGTGTGTCTGGAGGAGGTGGGTCACTGGGGTTTTGTTCCTGGTCAACAGACCACCCTCTGCCTCCTGGCCACCGTGTCCTGGGCTGCCTCCCTCTGCCACGATGTCTGCTTCACCTTGGGCCCAGAGCTATGGAGAGAGCCGACCGTGGACTGAATCTCTGAAACCATGAGCCAACATAAACTTTCCCTCCTTCTATATTGTTCTTGTTGGGTCTTTTGGTCCCAGCGATGAAAAATGGACTCAAACAGGCTCTACCACTAAGCTCCACCCTCAGCCCAAAGAACCTGTCTTTTAAAATATGGAATGTGTACCTCCAACCCCCACCTGCCCACCCAGCTGGCCACCTGGGCAAACCGGCGTATGCCCCTGGGTCCCCGGAATACGGGCACGTTCCGTTCTTTACTCCCTCCTCCCTGCTATCCATCCAGCCAATACTGATGGATTTCTTAATTCTGCCCCAGACGCCAGGGATACAGCAGTGAACCAGGCCCCTGCCTCCTTGGAACTTATTCAGATGGAGAAACCTGGTGACATTTTCATGGCAGAGGGACTGCGGTGCAGGGTAGGGTGGCACAGCTCTGTCGGGAGACTTTTTGGAGGTGTCCCGCCCTCCCTAAGAGCGGGTCTGCCGGGAAGAGGTGACTCTGGTGCTCATTTGTTTGAGATTGGATGTTCTTCATCCTGACAGGGTCCCCGAGGTTTTCCTGACTCCAAGGACACTGCCACCTCCCGGCTCATAACAAATGATGCTCAGGAGCATGCCAGCCCTCCCGCTCTATGAGGCAATCCTCGGAGGCCCTTGCCAAGATCAACTGTTTGGCCTTCTGCCTCGAAAGCTGATCCTCTTCCGAGTCTGATTACTGCTTTTCTGAAACACAGGCACCATGACATCGTCGCCCCCTCCCTGGCTTGGGGATCTGATGGTCAGCATGAAGTCAGGTTTGGAGAGGTGCCTGTGCCTGGGGCGGGGGCCCTGGAGTGAAGCAGGCTTTGGGGGGGGGAGGTCCCCAGAGACTGGGAGGGGGTTTGCTTTCAGATCTGTCACCAGCATCTGGGTCTGCCCCTTGGTGCACGGGGACGCAGCCTTGTGGTGGGGGCAGAGCTGACATTCCGTGGAGACGCAGCGGCCTGGTTTGACTAAGTTGTATTGGGATATTCCCAGTGTTACGGGGAACCACCCGCGGGGTGCCTTCCTGTCACTCCAGCTCCCCGGGCTCTCCCCTGGGCCATCTCTAAACAAATCCTACCACCAGCCACCTCAGGCACCTGTCCAGCCGCCCTCTGCCTGTTGGTGTCTGCTTGGTGAACAGTTCGGCCATCCCCCCAGGACAAGGGGTGACACTGTGAGGACTCAGGAGGCCCGTTGGTTGTGGGGCACCTGCCGAAAGACACTGTCATGTGAGAGGGGAGGCTACGTCTTAGGCTCACAGGTCAAGGCCCTGTGGACAGGAATCCCCTCTTGCCACTGCGGGGCCGTGGCCTTGCATCAGAAAGGGTTCCTTCGTTTGCCAGAAGCTGGGAGGACCTCAGGGGTCTTCTAGTCCTGCCCACTCATGGCAGGAGAGGAACCTATAGCTCAGCACGAGGTCACTTGCTCCTGTCCTGTAGCAAACCGGCAGCCTGCCTGAGCTTCCCGACTGTCCCCACTACACCGTACCCGAGGTGAGAAAAGATCTTGACGCAAAAGACCTCAGAGATGTTCCAGACATTTCTCGAACCCCTCCCCTCTGCCTTTCTGCACCCGGGGTCACTGAGTTAGAACACCTGACAGTTCCTCGAGACTGAGTGGATTTTAGAGCCAACCTCAGTCAGGGCTGGGGACAGGGCTCAGTCTCACATATGTGACTCAGAAACCTGGAGACCCCCCGGATGGCGGTCTCCAGACGGCAGCCTGCAGGCCAGGTGTGGCCCGCAGACCTGTTTCACCGGGACCCCCGCGAGTTGCTGGTGTTCTGATTGAACAGCTGGCCGACCTTCACAAAGTGGGAGACTTCACACAGAGTGTTTTCTTAAACGAGGGATTTTCTTAAAGAAAATCCAGCCACCGGTGTGCCCCATTTCTCCAGGCAGGGCCAGCTTCTTGTGGTTGGGACACATGCCCTAGTTTGTCCCCTTCTTGCTAGCTGCTCTCGGTCATTCACTGGCCAGGAGGCACCCGAGTGGCTGGCCGGGGTCTTTCTGGTGGCCTCCCTTGGGCCATGTGTGTCCTAGATGGAGTCAGGCCCACAGGAGCATCTGGGGTCCTTCTTCAGGCGCTCAGGCCCTTTTGGGCCAGGGAGATGTTCAGGGCCTCAGGACGGTCACAGGACTGTTGTCGATCGACTGTGATGTTGGACAGCTGGCTGGGATGTTGGACACCCCCCCCCCCGCCTCTGTGCCCATCTACCCCACAGTGCCCTTCTCTCTCTAGCCAGGCTGCCCGGGGCGGACACTCCCCAGCTGGGCTGGGCCTGGTTATTCTCTCAGGCAGGTGTTTTCTGAGCCCCCGGAATGGGAACAGCAGGGGGCTGGCTTCACCCAGGAGGGAGACAGAGTCACAGAAGATGTAAGTCACGGGCAAATACGTCTTTTGAAAGCTTCCAAAAAGGATAGTGGCTCACAGCTACGGGAGGAGCCAGGGCAGGCTTCATGGAGGGGGAGGTGTGTGCGGTGGGCCTTGAAGTTCAGGGATGAGAATCGGGGAGGGGGAGGCAGGGGAGCGGGCTCCAGACAGGCAGGGGGGGGAAAGGCTGGCGGAGGCCGGGGTGGGAGGAGGCGTGTGCTGAGTGTGGCTGGCCCACAGAGGCAGGGGGATGGCATTTCAGACACGGCCCCGTAGGAGCTGGGGTTAGATCAAGGCTAGGAATTCACTCCAACATATATAAAGGGAGGAGTCCGTCAGGAATGGACATCTTTGACTCAGTGAGGCCGGGGGCAGGTTTTGCTGAGGGAAGACAGGAAGCAGGAGCGTGGCCGTGCCCCTGGTGGAGGTATTTGGTTCTTGTTGAAATGCTAGTGTGGCCTTCTGCCCCAGCTGACCTGGTACAATGGTAGGGAAGTCCCAGGACACCTGCGGCCTGGTATCATTTCCACATGAATGTTGCTGTGTGTCAACTGTCTGTCCCTCCAAAGCTCAGGATGACATCTGCTGGTCCCTTGGTGGTGTCGGGAGGCGGTGCCTTAAGATACGATTAGGTCCTTAAGAGGGTTGTGGCCTATCTCGTGGACCCGGGCTAGTTACCGCCAGAGCAGGCTGTTAGAGCTCAAGGCTGCCTCTACCATACCTCTTGGCCCTTCCATTGTCTGCCGTGCGTTGAAGCAGCTGGGGCCCTCACCAGAAGTTGAACTGATGCTGGCTGGCACCATGCTCTCGGCCTCACCAACTCCAGAATCATGAACTAAAATCAACCCCTTTCTCTTATAAACCATCCAGTCTCAGGTGTTCTCTTATAGCAACAGAAAGTGGACAAAGACAGTATCATCTCCTTCACCAACTTTAAAGGAAGCCCTCAAATGATACGGTTAGGCCTTCCATGGGCTCCCAGTTCCCAGCCAAGGCCTGCCACTGGCTCGGGAGTGGAGGTGCAGTGAGCTGTGTGCTGTTCCTTCCTGCCCCCCTCTTCCTGGGCCTGTTATGTAAGTGGGTGGTGGTGCCCAGCAAGCTGGTAGCTTCCTGCTGCAGTGGCAGGGCCGGGCATCCGAGCTGGCACCGCTCAAGTTCCCCGCAGCATTCTGAACATTCGGGAACACAGGAAGGGCTGCGACGTTTAAGCTCCTTTTGTTTTCAAGGAGGGTTGGGAGCCCATTGGGAGGAGAGGAACAAAACCAGGAAGGCAGACTTGCTTTGCAAAGACAGTGTGTCCGCTTGCTCGGCCTCTGGGAGACCCCGTGCGCCCCTGACTGCACAGCCACACGTTGCCACCTGCTCACAGGCAGGACACTCCCATACCCCTCCACTCACCTTCCTCAGGCACCCGGAGACGCAGACACACGGGTCCAGGCACACACAGAAGCTGGGGCTTCTGTACACAGGGCCACCACCTGAATCCGACATCTGGGGGACATCCACACACAGAGATGGGCAAGTGTACCCAGGTGGCGCCCCATGCAGAGACACCCAGACACACACCACACAAGGACACCAGACACAGACGCACAGAGACATTCTCTGAGTCTCAGACACGTCCCCTTGGAATAAGTGACAGGCTGGACTCCCACGTTCACGCGCACCCCCATCCTGTCTCCTTGAAGAAGCAGCTCCACAGAAAATACAGGGAAGAGTCCCTTTCCCAAGGGGCCAGGGGGCCTGCCCCGCCTCAGCCCGCTGCCCCTTGGGCCTCGGCCCTGAGGAAGGGGTGGCAGGCTAGATAAAGTCCCACCAGGGCTCCACGAGGGGACGGCAGTGAGTTCTTCAATTTTTCTCCTCCCCGTTTATCTAGAAGATTCCACGCCATGTCCTTGATTGGGTTCCAAGTTTAGATTCTTCTTTCACAAAGTGAATGGGTTAAGAGTTGAGGGGAGAGAGGGCTGGCGAGGCCCTGGGGGAGGTGACTGGGGCTGGTGGAGCCGCCGCCATCTCCCCAGCATGGAGATTTCTCTACCTTCCGTCAGCCCCAAGCTGGAGCCTCCGGGGGCCGACAAAGGAGGTGAAAGAAGATCTCAGGGGTTCCCCACAGTGTCTCTGACAACAAAATGAGAAAGATGCCCAGGCCATTTGCGGCGGGGGTGGGGGTGGGGGGATGGAGCTTGGAGCTGGGGAGGAGGAGGAGGAGGAGGCGGAGGAGGAGGAGGAGGAAGCCAGGGCTAGCAAATGTCCGAATGCCTCCCACACCTTTGATGAAATCACACCCTTAGCCGTTGGCTCCTGGATCTGGGTGAGTGACAGCAGAATGGCAGCCGTGGAGGTAGAAATGGAGGCTTCCCCAGCCTCTAGGAATTTCCATGAAGATACCAGAGAGAGTGAGCTGCATGAAGGCCCCAGAAAACCACACCTAGGTCTCAGAGAGGCCAGGAGAGGGGCCCAGTGGCCGTCTGGGCAGCATATGGAGAGGCTCTGCAATACGGTAGGATGCGAAGACAGATCAGCGACCCTTGTTAGAACATGTACAAAAACCTTCCTCAAAATGTTTGTGTCCAGGGACTGAACCTCACCGTGAAAGAGGCTCCCAGGGTCCACAAAGGCCAGGGGCGGCCAGCTCTGGCTTTCTGTCCAAATAGGTGGTGTGGCGTGGTGGGGAGGGGCTTCCTGGGCCCAAAGAGCCAGCCAGCTCTGTCTTTTCTGCCAGCTGCAGCCTAAACACCTTCTGAACGTCTCTCTCCTGTTCTGCCGCAGCCTCTTCCTGGAAATCTCTGCAGCCTTCCCTCTCAGCCAGTTCCTGGGACAAAGCCTCTCTCTGCACGTCCTGCAGGGGTTCCTGGAATCCTGAAGGTGCCACTGGCTGGGAGAGGCCGCAGTGCTGTGGGATGATTAAGGGGAGGCACCCTGGAGGGAGCCGGGGCTGGGAGACCAGGCCTGGACTAAGATAAGCAGGGTGGACACTGCCTGAAAATCACGTAAAGAATGAGGTGAAGGAAAACAGAATGAAAACTTCAGAGGCTGCCTCCAAACTCATTAGTTAGAACGATTTCAACATCATATTTTAAAAAACGAGCATCAGGCAAATCAATCCACGGACATCTTCAAGAAGGACAGGATCTGGGCGGGCGAGGGCCTGAGCGGCCTCCCTGGCCTCTCTTGCCTCCCGGAGGCCGGGCCTTTCTGGATTCGCATCTCAGCGCTCCTCCCGCGAGGTGGAGGTGACATAGAGTAAACTGAACGTGCCTCAGGAGGGAGATTGGTAATGACCTGCGGCCCAGCTGTGTGACCACATCTGCGTTGTGGCACAGGGGCCCTGCAGGATTTCCTTTCTTGCTTAGAACTCTGTGTGGGTTCTAAGGTGAAGGCCAAACCTGTCGCGCTAGCCCCTTCCCTGGAAGCCAGAAGACACCGTCCGTCTGCCACACTGTGCTGCTGAGACCCCCGGGCTGACCTTGGCCCTGAACTTCACATCATCCCAACCCCAGCCCTGACCACACCCCGAGGGGCCTTTTAAAGTGCCTTGGAGTCCCGGTGATGTTCGAGGTCTCCTCTTTTGCATCTGTTTTGAAGCCCTGATCTCTGACGGCCCTTAAGACATCGGGGGCAGCTGTGCTTAGGGCTTAGGTTTGGAGATACTATGGTTCCTTCAAGGGCAAGGAGAAGAGAATATAAATTCACCAGCCGTCATATAAGTTCACAGATCCTTAAAGCAGGCGAATCTTAGGAAAGCACTGGATGCAACTCCGGGCTTTCAAAGATGGGCAGCTTTAGAGTTGCATCCAGAGTTTTCTAAGACCCTCCTGCTTTAAGGATCTGTGAACTTATATGACATCTGGTGTCCCTTTCCCAAGGTCACAGGAATAATTTTATTTTTTGTTAAACAGCTACTATGTGTCATGCTTCAAAGTGTTTTATATTCATCAGCTCATTTATTCCTCCTATCACCCGTGAGGTGGGGACTGTTAAGATTTCTGCTTTCTAGAGGAAGTACCTGAGGCCCAGAGAGGGAAGTGACTTGCCCATAGTCACACAGCAACATGTGGTAATGTGGTATCTGAACAAGGGTAATCAGACTCTAGCACTTCCAGGCTAAAGTCTTCTTTGCTCAAGCCAGATTTCTCTTTATGACACTAAAGGCAGGGAATGAATAATCTATGAGGTGAGGAATTTGCTTTTTGGCTCTTAGATTTACTCCCTATGAAAACAAGTCAGAGAGCGAAGGGCCAGGATCCTGCTGCCCCTTCTGTTGGTTGACCAGGCGCCAGAGGGACGCCATGGCTCAGCAGCCAGGGTGGGGCTGCCCCGGACAGATAAAGGTCTAGTGCTGATTCTTGGACCAGTGACTTGGCTGCACAATGCAGGGTCAAAGGGGGTGTGAGTGCCAGTCCCACATCACCAGGCACAGCACGGCCCCAGGAGTCCCAGCATGGGCTGCCGTGATGGAGACCACGTCTGTGAGTGCGAGGTGCTGGGTGAGCCCTCCGTGAGTGGGACCAGCAGGGTGGCTCGGCCTCCAAGTTACTTGGTCATCTGTGAACTAATGGGCGTGGCCGGAGGATCTCCAAAGCTCCTTCCTGCCCTCGGATTCTATGACCCTGAGCTCTGGGCTCCAGGGTGTGGGGCAGGGAGCGGGGTGCTGGAGCATCAGCCTCCAGATGGCCAGCAGCTGTTTGGAAACACCCCGTGCACCTTCCTCGTCCTCTCTATTTCTCGGCTTGGCTCAAGGGCCGATTATATTACCAGTGGAGAAATAAACCAAAAACCCAGGGAAATGGCTGCTTCCCTGTTTTCTTCATCGCATTTTCCACGTACGTCATGCACAAGGCTTTTGCAAGAGCCGGGGACCGCCATCGGCGGGTTTTGCTCCTGCTTCCATTAGTTCATTGGGTGGTTATAGATAATGACATAAAACTTGTTATTGGGCCAGCCCTGGATGGTCTCTGGAGCAGTCATGTGGGTCCACTCTGAAGCTCCTTCCCGTGGAGGCGTAGGACTTTATTTCCACTCGGAATCTCAGTTTCCTCTTCTAGGAAATGAAGGTACTAGAAATACTGTTTGTCCCACAGGAAGGGCTAAGAGGAGGACTGATTGATTTAATATCCTGTAAATCCAGGCCTAGAGGAATAACTGGAGGATTAGCTGCTGTTTTTACGAAGCACTTCGTGTTCGTTTACGGATCTGACGCATCCACCGACGCCACCCGGCTGATGGGATCTTACGAACCTGGTTCTTGACTTCAGAATGAGAAATAGTGACTTGTTCCGGGTCACACAGTAAGTGGCAGGGCCCCTAGTTTCTAGGGTGGCTTTTTTGAGACCAAGGTTAGACTATCTTCTGTTTTCCCACTGCCAGCTAACTTCTGCTTGTCCTTCAGGACCACCCAGACATCACCCCTCCCAGGAACCAATACTTGGTCCCCCAGGCTGGCTTCCAGGACCCTGTGCCCCCTCTGCCCACCTCTACTTCCCCACTGCGGGCAGAGATGGTGTCTACGAGGAGCACTCACGCCGTCCTCAACTCTGTCTATCTTTCATTTAACATCTTTCTGTCTCTTCCATCCATCCATCCATCCAGCCAGCCAGCCATCCTTTTATCTTCTTGACTTTTCGTCTTTGGAGTTTGCTACAGTCTTCGGCTTACATTTGGGGGCTCAGTAAATGCTGGTTGAAATAAATGGATGGGAATTCCCAGGGGCTCTGACAGAAGGAGTGTTTGTTCATGGCTGGTGCTGGGTCAACCCACAACTCCATATTCTTCCCCCCAATCAGGACCTATCCACAGACACACAGTGGTGCCAAATATTTGAAATAGGGACACCCTGGAACATGGGTGTGAGTACTTGAGAGATGCGTTGAAGGTCCCCAGCGTGGTCCTGGGTTTCAGGGGCGGGTGAGTTTCCTGGCGCCTGGCGGGGTGCCTTGGCAGGGTGTCCCTGGATGCCGTTCCTCTGTGCAGTGTGCTAAGGTGGCCAGTTACATGGTCTGCACGGGGGTGACGGCCTGTGTTCTCATGAACCTCGCCTCCTCCCTGGGGTTTCTTCTGCTCCCCAATGATCATGAGTCAGGCTCTTCTGGGCCGAGGACTGGTGTGAGCCCATGTTGGAGAGCCCTGGATGCTGCTCAGCGTGGCTCTCGGTGACATGGGTCCCACCCCTCTCATCAGATCCCGGTCCACCTCTTCAGCCTCACACTCCTACTGTCCACGCGTCCCACAGATTCAGAGCCAGCTGCTCCCGCAAACACGAAGGCTCCTCCTGCCTCTCCCCCCTGGGCTTGCTGACCCTCGGCCTGAGATGCCCCCTCTCCCCCTCCCTCTGCTGGGTAGGACCCCTGTCCTCAAGCCCGTGTAGACCTCCTCCTCCAGGAAGCCTCCTGCACCCTCAGGGCGTGCCAGTGGCCTGCCTGCCCATCCTCCCCAGATGGGCTTTCTCCTGTGTCTCCCTCTAGACCTGGGGGCACACTCGACCCTTCGCACTGTCACCTGGAATCTACGGCGGTAACTGACCCAGGCAGCGCTTCAGACCTGTTGGTGGACTCACGAAGCGCATTGATCTCATCAGAGGGAGGACGTGGGTGCAGCCTGTGGGCCTCGGCATCCGGGGACTCCGCTAAGGGACCCCAGGGGCCACCGCTGGAGCGGGAGGTGCTGGGCTAGACCCCGCTTCCAGCCCTGACCCCCTCGTAAGCACATCCCTGGATTCACTCTCCTAGAAATCAGTCAGGAGGGGGGTCATGGGACGGCCGGGAGGCCGGGCTGGCCCTCAGATCTCAGCTGGATGGCGCGCCCCCCCCCGTCTCTGCAGCAGCACAGGGACAATCAGACTGGCGACAGAGTTAGACCGAGTCCCGTGGCATCATCCCATAGGAAGAGACCTTAGGCACTGTGCACACACGCCCACCTGGTGGTGATGACCGGCCCCGGGCAGCGCTGCCTCCTTCTGGCTTGTGACCCGACCAATAGAGCTCACCGGCTCCAAGTGAGCGTCACTCTCCGGAGTTCAGTGGTATTATGGGATGGATCTTAAATGTCCCCCCAAGGCTTGGTCCCCAGTCAGCAGTGTCCCGAGGTGGAGCCTTGGAGAGGAGACAGGATCAGGAGAATTGAACCTCATCAATGGATGAATCCACTCTGAATTCACAGCCTCACGGGCTATGGGAGGTGCTGGTAACTTCAGGTGGTGGTAACTTCAGGAGGTGGTCTTAGCTAGAGGAGGTAGGCGGGTCATGGGGCACGCCCTGGAAGCTGTATTTTGTCCAGTTCTCCCCGCCCCCTCTGCTCCCCGATGCCAGGAGGGGAGCAGTTTTGCTCCTCCAGGTCTTTCCACTGTGGCCTGCTGCCTCATCAGGGGCCCAGCCACGATGAAGCCAAGTGCCCATGGAATGGACCTCTGCAACTATGACTGAGAATAACCTTTCCTCTTTGAAATTGTTTTATCTCAGGTACTTTGTCACAGTGAAGGAAAGCTCACCCAGGGGCTCTGAGAATCCTGTGCACTTCAGGATCCCTGGGGAGCTAAATGTCCAAATGCATCTTTAGGGTCTCTTCCGAGAGTTTGATGTAGAGGGTCTGGAGGTCCGGGAATCTGCACTTTAGTCAAGTGTCCTTCACTCAGAAGTTCTACCCTTAGGTGTCTCTCCAAGAGAAATGAAAACATAGTGTCCACTTAAAGACGTGTGTGTGAAGGTTCAGAAAGCTTTATTCACATCAGCCCAAAGGTGGACACAGCCCACGGGTCCCTGGACTAATAAATGGATGGGACGCTGCTCATCCATACAAGGGGCTTATTAAACCACCAAAAAGGGACGAAGTGGTGACGCATGCTACAACATAGATGGCGCTCAGAAACATGCTCAGAGAGAGACGCCAGACTCAAAAGGCCATGTATGAAGTGTCAGGCAAACCTATAGAGACGCAGAGCAAATTAGTGGTTGTTGGGGGTCGCCGGGGGCTCAGGGATGTATACTTTAATAAGTGAATTGCACAGTATGTTCATTATATCTTAATAAAACCATTATTAAAAAAATACCAAATGAGTCGCCCCTGGGAAGGTGGGAGACCCAACTATTTGAGAAGCATTTTTCAGAGGCGTAGACTATGCCTCCCTGGCCTCTAGAGGGGGGGTGTCCCTGCTTCCAGAGCATGTCCTTTGGAAATTCTCACACTGTTTCCAGTTAGGAATTCCCTCCATTTTCCGGAAGGGTAAACCAAGGCGTGAGCTCTGAAGGGACTTGGGGTGTGATTGGTATCCAATCCCAACTTTTTTGATCAGGAACCATATCAAAAACAAGTGAGGCTGCATCTTGGGAAGGATGACTAGTTATTTGCTTTAAAAACTCACACTAAAAATTATGCTTGTACTCTATACGGATCCACTATGAACACCGTGAAATAAACACAGTTTACACCTTAAAAGGCGAGTTTCAACAAGGACAAGAAAATCCTCTTTGGGTAAGACTTGAGCAGAGAGCTAAGGGAGCTTAATTCTCACCCTCTCCTGCGGTTACCCAGAGAGCCCCAGGGATCATTGAGCTGGGTATAATGAGAGAGGCTTAGGAGAGGGCATATGGGTCAGCAGAGCTGGCCCTTAAGGCCAGACAAATGAAGAACAGAGACTGGACTGAGGAGAGAATGCCACGGGAGATCGAAATCAGAAGAAATCACGTTCAGGCCCCCAGGTTTCAAAATTCCAATATTTTACTCTTGGTGTGGACTTGACCTTGACCTTGACCTTCATTTTGCAAATGAAGATGATAAACACTTCTAGGATTCTCCAAAGCACTAACTGAGGATGTATTTAAAGACAGAAAAGAGAGAGTCGGAGGGAAGCAATATGAAAGGAAGGAAATAGGGAACAGATTCCAGTTTCACAAACATCGATTGAGTACCTACTGTATGCAGAAACTGCTAAAGAGGAATTTCACTGGAGTCTCTAAGCTTTAGGGAGCCCCTGGTTTTGTGGGAGACAAGACCTACAAGCAAGAGCCTCCGTACCAGGCCATGGGGAGAGGGCCAGGAGTATCAGGGCAGGAGATGGGAACAAGTCACAGCTGAAGGTAGGTCCTTCTATGTGCTGGGTGGCAGCTGTCCTGCCAGGCGAGTGCCCAGGGCCCTGGGGTGCCTTTGCAGAGGCCCTGGCTCCTGGGCACCCTCCCACATGAACCCCTGCAGTCCACCCAAGCAGGGCGCTTGCGGGGCTGATGAAGGACACGGGCACAGGAGCAACACAGCGCCCCAGGTCATCCGTTTCTCCCCTCCCGCCAGCCCCTTGGGGCCATCAGTGACATTCCTTTCCCTCCTAAGCAAACACGGTTGTGTACTGCAGCCTGCCAGGAAGTGGAGCGCCCCCAGGGACAGCCCAGCCTCCTCCGGCCTCCCTCCCTCCCTCCCTCCACGCCTGGGCTGGCTGCACGGGCCTCCCCGCGTGGTGGCCTCGGCGGCTTTCTCCTCTTTCTCCCAGTTCCCAGAAAGGGGAGGAGGGGACGGGAACTTGGCCGAGGCCTCCTTTTGGAATCGCCCTCCCCAGCTCCATCCTGGGGAGCAGTTTCCACTGCGGTGACCTGCGGTGGTTAGCGGGCGGGTGGGAGGACAGTGAGAGGTGACACGTGGGGGCGAGAGAAGAGGCCCCAGTCCTGTGAGAAAACGGAGGAGGTGGACAGCAGAGGACGCGGGGCCAGGGATGGGCACTCGGGCTGTGATGTTCTTCCCTCCAGAGCAGTTTTCTTAGAAAAATTAAGAAAACAAGTACAAGGAGCCCACGTCCGTCCTTAAAGCCAAAGAATGAAAGTGGACCTCAGGGTCTAGGAGTGGCCAAAAAAATGCCTCCTTGTATTTACTTTTTCTTTTTTGGTACCGGGATTGAACTCAGGGACACTCGACCACTGAGCCACACACCCCAGCTCTGTGCTGTATTTTATTTAGAGACAGGTTCACTGAGTTGCTTAGGGCCTCACTTTTGCTGAGGCTGGCTTGGGACTCGCGATCCTCCTGCCTCAGCCTCCTGAGCTGCTGGGATGACAGGCGAGCGCCCCTGTGCCCCGCCACCTCTTAGTGTCTTAAGCTCCGCAGCTTTATCTGTTTGCTTTTGCGCATGCCCAATACTTGAGAGGCTGGGGGTGTTTCTGAAATGTTAATTGGTGACTGTTTTCACCGTGGTATGTCCTTGCTCTCTGGAGAGCCTCCCGCTTCGAGCCACATGGCTGTTCCATGGCTTCAAGACAGAGTTAGGAAAACCAAAATAGTTCTCAGCAGAGCAGATCGTAGATTTGGGGAAAATGTGGGGAGCAAGCCCAAGGCTTCTCCTCTCTGAGATGGGAAAAGGGCTCCCCTGACTGGAGCAAAGGGGTGCTGAGCAGATAAATCCACAGATGGGGAGATTTTTTTCTTCCCCTGGAGGTGGTGATGGGAGCTGAGCCCTGGTTCTGGCGCATGGGCCCCGAGGCCGGTGTCTTGGAGTTCAGGCTGGTAAGGAACTTGCACGCCATTTCCTGGGGAGAACTGCGTGATGGGAGAGGCACAAGACTCTACAGAGAGGAAATGGCTCCAGGAAAGGCCTGGGAGCATGGAGTCCCCGACAGCATTTCTGGTGCCTAATGAAGTATGGACATAGCAGAGAGATTCCTGTGTGGCAGGAAGGACACGGAGCTCAGCACAGAGAGCTGAAGTAGACCCCAGGGATGGGATGGGCGACGGA